AAAAGACAGGGTAAATTTCCCCCACACTAACCATACCATGGTTGAGGCTTGAAAGAAGCAAAACAGGAACAAAATGAGCACATCCACATGGCTGATTGGGCACTGACCATGTGTGACTCCACTGAGAGAGGAGATTCAAAACCTGCCAGGCGGCAACAGCCAGATCCCTCCAGGTGACCCTGGTGCAAGAGGAAGTTTGAGGAGCAATTATCTAAGCAGTAGGCTGCCCCAATTTCTACCCGGCAAGCCGATTCAGATAAGAGCTTCTCACTGGTAACTCCAAGCTTGTATAGAACACATGGGAAGACAAGGGACGGACAGCTGCATGATCGATTACCATGCTGCCCTAGGCCAGAGTCAGCGCCATCAACTTAACCCCTTCATACACAGTGAAGTCCTCCTCTCTCTCCCTCTCTCTCTCTCTCTCTCTCTCTCTCTCTCTCTCTCTCTCTCTCTCTCAGGGCATACACTTGTAGATGCTTCTTTGAAATGGGTTCATCCAGAATAAATAGGACTACAGCTTGGATGTCTATTCAGCTCATGTGTGGGGTCATCTGATTTTAATGTCTTCAGAGGGACTAGCTGCCACAGGAACCAGGAAGGACACTCAGGTCAGCCTTTGTTCAAACCCTCCTTGTCAGCTTCTCGGGGTTGGCTTACCTCATATTTGTGGTCCTGTTCTTTCTGGTGGCTGCTTTTCCTTATGCTGTCTTCCCAGGAAGTCCCATGAACCTCTTGACTTTGTCCTAACCTTGCTAACAAGTATTCATTATGACTAGCTAGCCTTGCTGACCAACCCTGCCCCCTCTCCTGAGAACCCAGCCACAGGCTCAACCATGCAGCCCCAGGGAGGACAGCTGATCTGCAAGCAAAAAGCCTGATCTGGCCTCTGCTCTGCTACAGAATTGCTGTGCAATCTCTTGCAAGCCCCTTCCCTTCTCTGGGCTCATCCCCTATTGCACAAAGGGAAGAACATAATGCTCTTCCAGATAGGGCATCCCAGAATCCTATTGGGTTTTTAGGCCAACAGTTGAAACCAAGTGAAGAACTCTCCCCCCTCCTGGTTTTCCTCTGCAGGGCACAGGACCGTACAGAAGCATTACCTGGAGGCATGGAACAGAGCTAGCTTCACAGATCACGGTGCCATGGCCTGTCACACATATACACACTAGTGAAACTGTGGCTGCAAAAGTTACCACTGTGCTAATGGCAAGGGTCTGTGAGAGTCTTCCTGCCTGGTTTCTCCATAAACACACAGCTGTTCTGTCATTTGCAGCTCAGACGGGACTAAGGACTCACATTCATTCCAACACCCAGCCCTTTACGCTACAAGCTTCCTTGCTGGGTCATTTCTAAAGCCCACTGCAAGGGTGTGATACAGGGCGCTCAGTAAATGTTTTCTGAATAAATAAACACTATCCTTCCTCTATAACCATAAGAGCCACAGAAGAATCACAGCACAGAAAGCCTAACACTAAGGCTGTAAGCTACATCCACGGTCAGTGCCACACATTCTTGAACTTTAGAAGTTCTATGTTGTACCTCTACTTTTGTGACACTCGCCTACCCCCTCCCCCCCCAATCAGTACTTAGGAGTCTCATCTATGTGGCTCTAGTACGTCAGTCAAAGATGTGAAGCTAGAGCCTGGCACCAGTGGCTGACACCTGTAATCATAGCTATTCAGGAGGCTGAGATCTGAGGATCACCATTCAAAGACAGCCTGGGTAGAAAAGTCTGTGAAACTCTTACCTACAATTAACCACCAAAAAGCCAAATGTAGAGCTGTGGCTCAGGCAGCAGAATGCTAGCCTTGAGCAAAAAAGCTCAGGGACAATGGCCAGGCCCTGAGTTCAAAACCCAAGACTGGCACCAAAAAAAAAGTAAAGCTAAATCTCAGTTCTTCCACTCATTGGCTGAACAACTTAAACTTCAGTTTCCTTCTGTGCAAAATGGGGTATTAAACTGCCAATTAAACAAGAAACCCTACGGCAAAGTGGCACAGTTACTTGGAGACTATTGTAAAAGGACCATTTGAGCCCAAGTTCAATATCAGCCTAGACAACATAGTAAAAATACATCTCAAAAAACTTAAGTAAACCAGGATCCAGTGGCTCACACTTGTAATCTTACTCAGAAGGCTGAGATCTGAGGATCAAATCTAGCCCAGGCAGGAAAGTCTGTGAAACTCTTATCTCTTAACTGCCAAAAACCTTAAGTGGACTGTGGCTCAAGTGGTAGAGCACCAGCCTTGAGCAAAAGAACTCAGAGACAGCAATAGGCCCTGAGTTCAATCCCTAGTATGCCCCTACTTCCACAAAGTTAAGGTCAAGGAAAGACTGACAGAACAATCTAAACACAAGTGATAACACAGGATGGAGTGGGTAACATACACACAGGAATTTAAAGTCTTTATCTTGAAGATTTATTCTTTTTTTAAATTTTTGACAGCTGTTGGTATAATAAATCTGTGGCTAAGGAAAGACAATGCACCAGGACCAAACAGATTTCTAGAGTTTCCATCCACCACTAGTTTCAGGAACTTTGGCCTTTCCCTAACATGCTTTTCTCCATTGAACTTAAAAACCTCTCCCCAGACTACAGTCACCATGTAACTCACTTTCCCACGTCACTCATCAGCTGCCTCTGCCCCCATGGTTAAGATGGCGAGTTTTATGTGTATTTTACCACAATAAAAGCTGAACAAGAGCGAAAGGACCAGCTTGAACACTGTGATTCTCAGTGACAGTATTAGCATTATGTCATCCGGCCAAAAGCAGCTAATAGCTGTTGTACATCTTTACACCCAACTCCAACCTTCCTTCCTTCTGTTTAGATGGAAATATCTCATCTACCACTGAAATCTAGCATCTGCTTAGAAATCATTGGCTCAAAAAACGCCACAGCTCTCAGCTCCCCATCCACTACCCACTACCATCACAGCTAGGCAGACAGGAACCTGCACCCTAACCCACAAATACCCCTGTGGGGGCCACAGCATCAGTCTAGGAAAAGACAAGACAGACACAGACACACATGCAATCAGATCATTTTCCAAATTAAAGGTATAACTTGACCATTGTCATTCTACTAATCTGCCCATCAGGAAAAATAAGTCCATCATAGATAAAGTCAGCTTCAATTTCTTCCAAATGAAATTGATTTTCCTGCTCTCCAAAAACGAACACCTGTTTCATGCAATACGCAACCCACAGAATCCAAGAAACCAATTTTACATCAATTTCTCCCCCAATAAAATACCATTTAGCCAAGATTTACAAGAGCACACCCCCTCACACCCACCCCAGTAGATTGCCCTAAGAAATCTTTTGCGAAAATACATACTTTCAACATGCAGCCAAAAAACTTTGCATCTAGGAATTTTAAAGAGCACTTAGGAAACCATTGCAATGCTCAAAGAATTTGTTTGAAGCAGCCTTACTGTTGGATGAAGATGTGACTTTCAATTACTCATCTTTTTCATTCCCTCACCTCATCATCGTTTTTCCCCATTGCTGGTTTGTCAGGAGCTCCCCAGGGACAACATCTGCTGCAGGAATTGGATTTGAAATTTTCAGCTGCTCAAACGAGCAAATTCTACCTATGTGCTAAGATCTCACAGTGACAGCATGAGCCATAAGTTGAACTTCAAAAACTTCAGAGAAGAAAAAGAAGCAACCCTAAGACAGCGATGGGAAGGGAGGAATGAGAGGGAAAGAGGGAACAGCCTACACTAAGCAAAAGGAAAGAAATGTAAACATCACCTGATGTGGAAGAAATGATTTGTATTGTCAAAGCCCATAGAATTCACAAACTGTATAGACCATGATAATGACAATGTGCCTTGTGAAGGTTAAAATGTGTTTGTGACTTTAAGAATCACTATTCCAGGGGCTGGGAAGGTGGCTCAGTGGTAGAGCACTTGCCTTGCATGCATGAGGCCCTGGGTTCGATTCCTCAGCACCACATAAGAAAAAAGAAAAAAGCCGGAAGTGGTGCTGTGGCTCAAGTGGTAGAGCGCTAGCCTTGAGCTGAAGAGCTGAGGGACAGCGCCCAGGCCCAGAGTTCAGGCCCCATGACCGGACCCAAAAAAATAAAAAATAAAAAAAAAAAATCACTATTCCACAATACTGTGAAATATGTGAAATTTATGTAATCACCTAATCTCAATTTAAAAAAAAAAGAGAGAAGGGATGGGTTAGGAGTGATGGGTGGCAATGTTGTCAGACACCTTGTATTCATATACTGTTTTGGAGAATGGGAGCTTCTTTGTATAACTACTTAAATAATTGAAAAAAAAAACAAACTTCCACTGGGATGGAATTAAATAAACTTAGTGTAGAAATGTGTCAACATTACACTCTAATGTTAAAGGTCTTTTAATTTTTAAAACAAAATATTATTGATAAATCCAATTTATCCAATTAACCCTTTCAAACTAGGTGAAGGAGAAATAAACAGATGGGAACCCTGGTGTACATTTTGAGAATTAAGAATTGGAGGAGGGGGGGGAGAAAATCAGCAAGTGTTTTAGAGACAGAGGACAGGAGCCAGGCAGGTAGCACATGCCTGTAAGTCAGCCCAGCACCAGGGAGGTAAGGGCAGGAAGACAGCAAGTTTGAGGCCAGTCTGGGCTACATAGCAGGGCCCTATCTCAGGGCCCTATCTGAGAAGAACAGAATGAGCAAACATCTATCCAAGATTTCTGGTTTCCAATTCTTTGACTGTTCTGTGGTATCAAATTGCCTTTGAGCACAGATCTTCTTGGCAGAGTCATCACAGAATACCCCAAATATCAATCCCCAGGACAAAAATACCCTGGGGGAAAAAAACACACGGAGGCTAATTAAGGTATCCTGGAGTTTGAATGAGTACACAGTTGTGAGGGACTGTCAATCCAGCCAAGAACACAATCTCCACAAGACAATTTTCCACCTAATCAATGGCAACCCTACAGGCAGACAAAGGCCTTAGCACAGAGACAGGAGCAACCAGACTGGGATAGATCAATTAAAAAGTTTATTCGACATAGAAAAAAAATCTGATTCCTCAATCAATTCGTGTTATGTTCCCTGTAAAACAATACGCTTACAGAAAATTTCTTTCTCGTGAACAGAAAAACCACTTCACTTTTGGTCCAAGATATGCTGGGTGTATTTTTTTTTTCCTTCTTCTTCAGATGACAGATGGATGCAGCCGAATCTACGAACGCGTGTACTTGCCCCAAATGTGCAACATAAATACAGAAGCGATGAACAGGAGACTCATAACCAAAACTGGAACGGGGCCACTAGAAATAAGAAGACAAGGCATGCATGCTTTAGTAATAAGGTATTATTAGAGCTTACACTCAAGCTCGCCCAGGGGCAAAGTGAGGACAGTGTGGGGGCTTCCGAAGTATCCAGGGGCATTATTTACGTCATCTAAAAATATTCCCAAAGCTATCGTGATGGCATGATGATGGCACTGCAGTTGGACTCACTCTCCGTGAAACACACAACCAACATACAATGAAATACTCAGATATCCTGGGGAAAAAAAAAATCACCTCTCACAAAGACAGACTTTCCCATCGAATTACAAAGTGTTAGAGATACAATGAGCATCACGTTATATAAAAAATTGATGAGATGGCTTTAAACATATGACCCCATATGACCTGCACAACAAACTCATGAGACAAGTATTAATTTCATCTGATACATAAAGAAAACTGAGGAATACAGGAACTATTATTACTTGCTTACAACATACAAGAGGGACAGGGAGAGACTTGAACTCAGGTTTTCTGAGTCCATTTTGACTGCCTCAAGGTCCTGTCTTCAAGGAACAAACATTCTAGGCACCAGGCATTAAGACCCAGTTACATTTATGTATCCAATGTAGGAAATAAACAGATTTTTACTCATCTGCCCTTCCCTACATCAAATGTTTTTCCAATTACAAATTAATAGATGGGTTTCTTAAACAGAAAACTGAACTCCCTGAATTTACACAAGCTGTGAAGTTTACTTCAGGCGCTGCCTCTTTAACTCTTCCTGCCCACACGCCCCAGATACAACTGAGGAGCAGAGAGAGTGAAAGGCCACGGAAGAGGAATCATCATAATCACCAGCAGAGTGACAGTGACCATGACTGGACAAAAGCAGTACAGAGATTACGGTCTCCGCTACCATACTCCATGCTTCCTAAACCCGGACAGCTGAGGGAGCACACAAAGGTAAAAGATCCAGGAAGAGATGACATCACGTTGTACTCCATCTTACTCCCTTACTATAAGATGTTATTAAAACCTCAACCAGAACACAAAGCTGAGGGTAGTCCCAGAGCCTAAGACTCAGTAGTTCTCAAACCTGTCACTGAAGCCCCATCCCTTACCTTTCTCAAGCCTCAGCCTCCCGCTTGTAAAGTGTCATTCATCATAATACCTATCTTATAGCACTGCTGGGCTATTCATACATAAATGAATACTCACAAAGTAGGCTTACAATACCTCTCAAGAAGTTCTAGTTATCAACCTGATGGAGAAAAATGAAGCACCAAGATGTTGCTTGACTTCTCCCAGACATGGATTTATAGGCAGAAATTTCCAACTGTGTCCTCTCACCAAAAGCCCCTATCTCTGCTGTGGTGAGAATGTGGTTTATGGGGCTTTAGCCACTTCCTGGGAGGCCTAGACACAAATGGCGAGTCTGGCTGTTCAGAAGCAGGAAGCCCAGCAGGCATGAGCCAGACTCGGCCACAGAAGAATGAACACCTTTGCCTGCCTTCTGGAGAGGGTTTAAAACAAGTCCACCAGATCCCCATTGAACAAAGGAATTCACACTGCCTCTGAAATTCTCAGGAAAATTACCTCTAACTGAGACAGGAAGGAAGACTACCAACTCACACCCCCACACCCAAGGAGTACCTCCCAAATACATTCTTCCAAGTCTCCTGGATCACAGTAATGGAGCCAACCAAATCTCCAGGACTCCAAGGAAGCCTTCATAAACTACACCTGCAATGCAGGTCAAGGTGCTGTGAGATGCACTTAGCGCTCCTCATGACCGCTGCCGCTAGGAACCCTGTCCTAGCATGAAGTTTAGTCAGAATGGTGTTCTGGAGCCTCTGGGCCTGGCAGGGGCCTGGCAGAGGCCTGCAGGGCTGGACTGGCCACAGCACCAGGCACCCTGACAAGTGAGGCGGGCAAGCATGGGACGGGGGGTCCTGGATACCCGCCTCCCTCACACACTGATTTCCAGAAAGTGCCATGTTCCTACCTGGACCCACAAACACCACCACACACAAGGAGGCTGGGGAACTTCTGGTGACATAGCCTAATGGGAAAACTTGCATTAGGCTGTAATAACATCAGCCTGTGCCTCCAGGAGGACGTGAAAAATCACCCAATTCCTATTCAAATGGTTCCTTCTCTTTCCCAGCGTGAGGCAGGATCACCAAATGAAGAGCAATCTTATCTCATTAGTGGCTTTCCCTCCAGTTCTCCCTGCTGCCATCACTTACTGTGACAGGGCGACAGGCGGAGCCTCCATGCCTTTCACTCACGCCACACACCGACGTCATTTCAGGGCCTAACCTGTCTAAAGTGACAAATGGGCAGGTGACAACCCGGCCTGCCTGGTGCAAATGAAGCCCTTATGGGTCACAAGCAAGGTAGGCAGCACGCCACACTCTGAAACCCTGGATGCGCACATGGGTTCTGATCCCAAGACTTACACTTTGAGTCCCGGGGAATCCTCTGTGTAGAACCGCCACATCCCTCCGGTCCCCGCCGAGGTCGTGCGGCCTGCGCTCCTTGTCCCACAGCTGGCATTCTTCCTGAAATAAAGAAAAACATTACCAAGGGCCTTTCCTTGGAACTTCTTTGAACCACATTATAACATAGGCTACCACTGTGCCTTTACAGAATCAATAAGGTGGGGCTGGGAAGGTGGCTCAGTGGTAGAGTGCTTACCTTGCATGCATGAGGCCCTGGGTTCGATTCCCCAGAACCACATAAACAAAAAGAAAAAAAGCCGGAAGTGGCACTGTGGCTCAAGTGGTAGAGCGCTAGCCTTGAGTTGAAGAGCTGAGGGACAGTGCCCAGGCCCAGAGTTCAGGCCCCACAACCGGACCCCAAAAGAAAAAAAAAAAAAAAGAATCAATAAGGTGCTAGGCCCTAGTGGCTCATGCCTGTAATTCTATCTGCCCAGGAGGCTAAGATCTTAGGACTGTAGTTTAAAGCCAGCATGGGCTGGAAAGTGCCTAAGATTCTTATTTCTAATTTAACCACTAAAAAGCTGGAAGTGAAGCTGTGGTTCAAGTACCAGAGCAGCAGCCTTAAGCAAAAAAGCTAAGGGACTTAAGTGAACCAGGGCTTGAGCCCAGGTTCGAACCCCAGTACTGGCACCAATTTAAAATAAATAAATAGGGAAAAAAATGTCTTTGCCAGTACTCAAATTTTAGAGTTACTGCTATAATGCCAACAATTATGAACTTAGTACTTACTGTCATATGACAGTAAGTACTCATACCCTGAGAAAGTTACTATTTCCTACTTCATACATGAGGATAATTTAGAAAGGTCAAGAAAACTGTTCAAACCCCAGTACTGGGGTTTGAAGTCAGGGCTTCATGCTTGCCTAGCAGAAGCTCTACCATTTGAGCTCCACCCCCCTAAGCCTTTTTGCTTTAGTTATTCTTCAGATAGTCTTACTTCTGCCCAGAACCAGCCCTGGACCCGTGATCTTCCTACCTACACCTCACACATAGCTGACATTTTAGCTAATACTCTCAGCTTATTTGTTAAGATGGGGTCTCACTAACTTTTTGCCAGGGTACCTCAACCATGATCCTTCTACTTCTATCCCCAGGTAGCCGGAATTACAGGCATGAGCCACCTCACTTGGTTGAGCAAAGTCAGTTTCTCTTCACACGTATTTCTGTGAATCCAAGTAAGAAATCCTCGTACTAAAAGAGTCCTGAATCTATATAATTTGATCAAAATTATACCAAAGTGTTAAATTACTATATTTATTGCAGAAGAGACAAAAAGCATTAAGTTTTAATTATATCACAGTCCCCAAAATGGGACTGTATTTTAAAAAGTACTTTGTGCCAGGCGCTGGTGGCTCACGCCTGTAATCCTAGTTACTCAGGAGGCTGAGATGTGAGGATTATGGTTCAAAGCTAGCCCGGGCAGGACAGGCCATGAGACTCTTGTTTCCAATACACCTCCAGAAAACCAGAAGTGGCACTGTAGCTCAAGTGGTAGAGTGCTTGCCTTTAGCTGAAGAGCTCAGGGACAGCTCTCAGGCCCAGAGTTCAAGGCCCACAACCAACCAAAAAAAAAAAAAAGTACTTTGTGAAGCTTTGCTATTTTGATGAACTGACTATATAATATACATCTTGGACAGAGTGGCAGGAAGTAAAAAGTGGTGGGAAACACCCAAACAGAACCTGTCCACAGCAAAGGGTTGGAGACTCAGCACACATGAGGTCTGTGGTACAGGCAGCCTGGGCCAAGAAGCACCCTAACAGAAATACTGCTAACCAGACCTACTGCCCCTATGCTAGTTATTCCAACAGGGCCGAAGTGGTAAGTGGTGAGTTGAAAGGCATCTTCTTTGGCCCATTCATCTCCCTAGGTGAAGAGAAAGAAAGAGGAGAGGAAAAGGCTTGTCTCAATAGCCCCTCCCTTAAAGTCCCACTTTATGGTGTAGGTTGCTGATTCTGGATTGTTTGCAAAGGGAAGAATGAATAGGACGGACATGCAAGTGAAAACCCAATCCCTACCATCACTTGCCTCCCAATTCTGGTCCTAATGCCCTTCTCAGCCTCCCACGGCCTTTATGCCACACTCTATATGCAAAAAGGCTATCTACAGCCCAAGGAGCTTGCCCTGCCCTGCTGCATGAGTGGGAGAGTGGAGTCCTGGGTCCAGCAGGAGGAGTTGTTCGTTCAGCATAGAACTCTGAAAGCAATCAGGGTTAATAATTTGGGCCTACTGCACTATAGCATTGTTTCAGACATTATGGACTACATGGCAGGCTGGGAACTTGGAACACTCTTGTATAACTGTTGTCTGGGGGCACACATTGTAAACAGTAGAGGAATTTACAGATGAAGGCATGCACTTAGAAAAAAGCATTCACGTGCAAAGATGCACACCATTTAAATCTATGGGGCAGGCTCCTGAATGTCCCTCCTCTTCCCAACTGGAAGAAAAACCCAGTGTGGGCCATGACTCCTGCATCTTGCCAATCCAATTCCTGTGTTCAAAGCTAGGATGTCAGAAGCCCCAGAGGAATGAGTATGGAAGATTCCATATTTCTGCTAGCACTTGGTGTGCAGGAGATGCCTGAACACCACTAGAAATACAAAATGTACTCAAAACATTGTCCATTCCCTCATTGGAAAGCTAAGTAAAGCCAATAACAGAGCCCACTTTACTCTCTTCAATTTCTACTTGGGTCTATTTGGCTCTCTCTTTCTAACCAGTGTATGACTGCCCTCCTCTTCTCATACCTTAACGAACTGTTGTTGTTGTTGTTTGTTTGTTTTTTTGTCAGTTGTGGGGCCTGAACTCTGGCCTGGGCGCTGTCCCTCAGCTCTTCAGCTCAAGGCTAGCGCTCTACCACTTGAAATACAGCACCACTTCCAGCTTTTTCTGCTTATGTGGTGCTGAGGACTCGAACCCAGGACCTTGTGCATGCAAAGCAAGCACTCTACCACTGAGCCACTTTCCCAGCCCCACAAACTGTTTTTTTCACCTGTTTACATCCTTTTTTGAACACTATCGCCTGCTTTCAGTTACTGGAACACACCAAGCTCAAGGACTTCAGTTAACCATTCCTTCTGTTTCTCTTGCTTCTTTCAGCTCTGTGCTCAGACACAGCCCACCCAGAATACCTTAAACAGTAACAGCCATTTTTACCACTCTCTAATCCCCTACCCTGCTTTACTTCTTTTCATGGCCCTTATTGCCATGTTGTATTTGTTTTATTTATGAACTCCCACACTGCAATAAGGTTCATAGAATAAAGACAAACTCTGCCTATCTTGTTCATTCATACATTCTCCAAGCTAAAAGTGTTTGCCAAGCAGCAGAAGTTTAAATAATTATTCAATGACTATCTTAATGTCCCTGATTCCCACTAATTCTGCTTGAACACTGTGTAGCACTTCGTGGTTTTATTGTTTCTGATGCATTATTGCTCCTTTTCATTCCCACAGCAACACTATACTTAGCTTTGTGAGTATTCCAACCCTAGTTCTGACCTTAAATCCTGTACTGCTTCTTTCCCAAGATATGATTAACCCTATGATTTTATTCACAAAGGATGAAAATCTACAGGCTATATAATCTAAAGCATTATTACCCATGAACCTCAAACTTTCTTCTAAAAAGTTACAGAGTCGATACACTCACAAAATCACGTAAACCATTACACTCACAAAATACTTAGCCCACAGCAAACTTCTAAAAGAGAATATAGTAGGGTCCCTCTATAGACAGCCATTTATACTATGTCTGGTTACACTGGCCCTGCCACACTGAACCCTGTAAGATGCCATCCAGCTCTGAAATTTAAAATCTCCACATCACATATCCATCTGTTACAAAGATCTCTGAAATCCAAGGGAGCAACACAACACTCTAAGCCCTCAGTTTCTAAACTACTTCCCTCGGATATCTAAAGGACAGTACACTATCAGTTAGAATGAACTTGCCATTTCTGACCATTGTATTACAATTCCCTTCTCTGAGCTGCAAGCCATCAGTTTTAGATTTGCTTTTGTAAAACACCTCGGCCATCTTCACAGTCTGTGGTCAGTACTGGGTTTGGAAGTCAAGGCTTGTTTGGCAGGTGCTTTTCCACCTGAGTCAATGCTTCCTGCCCAGCTTTTGGCTGGTTAACTGGAAATGGAGTTTCTGCTCACGCTGGCCTCAAATCGCTATCTTCTGGATCTCAGGCTCCTGAGTACCTAGGATTTTTAGGATTGTGACCCCAACTGGCCAAGCCCTCTTCATAGTCAGCTTGTCCCACCTACAGGAAATGGTGTGAAAGAAGACTGCAGCCAGACACGCCATGTTAAATGTGGGGTGCACAGGACCTCTGGGCAGGAATGTAAAGGCAAAGCTCAGCTCCTGGGTCACCAACCTACCTACATCAGTATCAACGGTTCAGCTTCGACTGTCCCTGATCCTTATCTACTTTAACTTTCCTTCTTAAAGAAAGGGGCAGGAAAACGAGCAACCGAGATGGAAATGATGCCTCCCCTCCCAAAAGGCCTTCAGCTTCTCCCCTGGCCCACGTCAGTTCAGACTCCTTGCGGCCTGGAGAGCCTGAAAGTTCCAGGAGTGTTTTCAAGCCCTGGGATTTCCTTCCCAGGCCCAGAGACCTCTCGGATCCCATCTCTGCGCCCAATGAGCCGCCCGGCTCCTTACCTCTGCCGGACAGTCGATCCCGCGGCCCGGGCGGCCACCGCTTTGCTGGGCGATCGCCCTGAGGAGCCCACGTTAGTGCCGCTGGGGGTCGGGCCCGGCTGTGGAGGAAGACAAGCAGACAGACCGTGAGGCCCCGAGGGCGGCTAGGGAGCCAGGGAAGGAGCCGCAGGGAGGAGGGGACGCCGGGCAGGAGTGGGCGCGCCTGGGGAAAGCAGGGAGCCAGGGGCGGAAGCTGGGGCCGCGTACCATGCTGGAAGCTGGAGGGCTCCGGAGGGTAAAAAGCGGACCGCAGCTAAACAGCAGAGGATACCGAGGACCGCAAGGAAGACTGCTGAGCACCCAGAGGACCCGCAACAGGAAAGATGAGCTCAGGCCCCGCCCCCAGGCCTGCTGGCAGGGTCCTCGCTGGCTCCAAGGACGCCTTGGCTGCCCTAGGATATGCCTGCAGAAATTCTGCAGAACGCAGCTTACCTAGAGGCTAAATGTGAAGTACATCCCTTGCAAATGATCTGATTGTACTATATTCTGCTTCAAACGACCCATTCCCTCCGAGAGAGAAGCTATAACCAAAGTCTGATGTGAAACTTTCTCCGGCACTTGCTAGGTGCCCACAGGTTTGCGCTGATGTGGCCTTAAGGAGGTACGCGAGGCGAGGCGGGGTCGTCCCTCAATGGCCAGCTAAGGCAGAGGGCGGGGCTTAAAGCCCCCTCGGGTCGCGGGGCTCTGTGCGCAGGCGCGGCTGTCCAGCCATGGCGGAGAAGCAGGACCCAAACCCGGACTCGGGTGCTGGTCCTTCGGTGCTGTTCCTGCACCCGGACCTGGGTGTGGGTGGTGCCGAGCGGCTGGTGCTGGACGCGGCGTTGGCGCTGCAGTCGCGCGGGTGCCGCGTGAAGATCTGGACGGCGCACTACGACCCGGGCCACTGCTTCGCCGAGAGCCGGGGGCTGGCGGTGCGCTGCGCCGGGGACTGGCTGCCCCGCGGGCTGGGCCCCGGCGGCCGGGGCGCCGCGGTCTGCGCCTACGTGCGCATGGTCTTCCTGGCCCTCTACGTGCTGTTCCTCGCCGACGAGGAGTTCGACGTGGTTGTGTGCGACCAGGTGAGACGGCGGCGGGGGCCTCGGTGGGCTGCGGCCCGGCGATCGGAGCCGACCTGCGAGCGCGCCGGGAGGGAGACGCCTGCCGTCTGCACCGGGCGACAGATCGCCGCCGCGCGCCGGTGGTAAACATCGCGAATCCCCGCTACTCCGGAGGCCGAGAATTGAGGATCGCAGTTCGAAGCCATCCCGGGCAGGGAAAGTACCGGATATCCACTATTACTAGAGAGTTGGAAGTGGAGCTGTGGCTCAAGTGGTAGAGTGCCATCCTTGATAGTGCCCAGGCCTAGTTCAAGCCCCAAGACACACCCCCACCCCCGCGCGCGCGCACACACAATTTTTTTAAAGGGTAGCATGTAAAATAAATTGTAAAAATGCAAGAACATAAGTTTGTGAAATGACTTAATGCTCAAAAAAAAAAAAAAAAAAGAAAGAAATTAAGGCGGCCTTTCTGCCCTGTAAATTCCAGCCTTGGCAGTCTTCTTACTGGACTCTGCTCTAAGCTGCAGCCCACTTATTTAGTTTTTTAGAAGGAGAAAGCTCCTGTAGCTGCACTGTCCACTGTGGGAATCCATGTGGCTGCCGAACTGAGATACTTAGGCCCGAAAATATCGAATATAAACTAGAATTGGGAAACTGGATGTGAAAAAAAGCATCTCAATGTTGTTAGTTTTACCTTTTGAAATGATAGTGTATTCCTTTCACCTCACATTTAATGTTATCGGGTATTATTAATTTTAAACACTTGCTTTGAACTTTAAATGTTTAGCATTCATCCTGCAAATGTCTACCAGCCTTCTATGCATCAGTCATTAGACTGGGCACGGATGAGTGCTCACAGTGCTCAATCAGGCAGTGCCCAGAAGGAGCCCAGAGACCCGGTGGGTTTCCTGGTAGGTATCTGTGCCTTTGGTTTGGTTATGGTTAAGTTGTCCAAGTTATTTATCTGCCATTGACTTTGCTTTGGCTAGGTGTCTGCCTGTATCCCAGTGTTCAAGCTGGCCAGACGGCGGAAGAAGATCCTGTTCTACTGTCACTTCCCAGATCTGCTTCTCACCAGGAGAGATTCCTTTCTGAAACGGCTGTACAGAGCCCCAATTGACTGGCTAGAGGAGTACACCACAGGCATGGCAGACTGTATCTTGGTCAACAGCAATTTCACAGCTGCTATTTTTAAGGAAACCTTCAAGTCCCTGTCTCACATTGACCCTCATGTGCTCTACCCATCTCTGAATGTCACCAGCTTTGACTCTGCTGTTCCTGAAAAACTTGATGACCTAGTCCCTGAGGGGAAAAAATTCCTCTTCCTTTCTATCAACAGATATGAGAGGAAGAAAAATCTGACCTTGGCACTGGAGACTCTAGTCCAGCTGCGAACACGGTTGGCCTCACAGGATTGGGAGAGGATTCATCTGATAGTGGCAGGTGGTTACGATGAGAGAGTGCTAGAGAATGTGGAACACTATCAGGAATTAAAGAAAAAAGTCCAGCAGTCCGACCTTGACCAGCATGTGACCTTCCTGCGCTCTTTCTCAGACAAGCAGAAAATCTCACTCCTCCATGGCTGCACGTGTGTGCTTTACACACCCAGCAATGAGCACTTTGGTATCGTCCCTCTGGAGGCCATGTACATGCAGTGCCCAGTCATTGCTGTCAACTCAGGTGGACCCTTGGAATCCATCGTCCACAACGTTACAGGGTTTTTGTGTGAGCCTGACCCGGTACACTTCTCAGAAGCAATAGAAAAGTTTATCCACCAACCATCCTTAAAAGTCACTATGGGCTTGGCTGGAAGGGCCAGGGTAAAGGAGAAGTTTTCCTCTGAGGCATTTACAGAACAGCTCTACCAGTATGTGACCAAACTGCTAGTATAATCACATTCTCTTAAAGTCTTTATGCTGCATTCATTACCATCATTTTTATGGATTGTAAAAACACTTTTGAGACCAAAAAAAGGAACCTAGAATCTAGTATAGAGGGATTTTTTTTTTTTTAATAGACACCTCCACCTACATTTTCAGAAAAACATTCCAAGTCCTACTACTGTTAGAAAAATGGTAGATTCCACCTTTGGCAGAATATTTGAATTATATCTTTTGGATTATTGTTGCTCTGCATATAAGTAGTTAATTATATTGTGCCTTAATCGGTTTTCTTGCTTTAAGTATATGGTTATCAAAATTGGTTAATATGACTTCAGAGCATGAAGACAGACTGCTGTGGTTCCCAGACTCCATTCACTGAAGTATTTACTGTCAGCTGCTAAGAAATCCTTGCTTAAACCGACCCCTGTCTGGGCGATAGCAAGAATGCAGTGTTTTTTATAGAGATGATGTGTTGTATTTTTTACATTCTGAGACGTGATAAAACATGTTCCGCATAGTAAAAAGACAATAAAGCACTAGATTTTAGCCTCCTTGATTTCTTTTGGTGCTGCTAAATAAGATAACCAAACCTAGCATCAGAACTGGTAAACTATCCAGACATGATGAGCGTATTGTGACATGTGACGTGCATTGTGTTAATCACTTTGCCAGGCAGTACTGTGACAAAACATGATATAATTGGCTTGAAAAGAAGAAAGGTTCATTTTGGCTCACAGTTTAAGAGGCCGGTCTGTGGTTGTGTAGTTGTGCCGTTTGGGTCTGTGGAAGCTCAGTACATCATGACAATAGCATGTGATGTGTGGAGGAGACCTCACCTCAATGCTTCCAGGAAGCAAAGACAGGAAAGAGCCAGGATTCCAACATCAAGGGCATGCACCAATCATCTGACTTTCTTCCACTAGGCTCCACCTATAGGTTCTGCCACCTCTGAATAGCACCATTAGCTGGAGACTAGGTTTTGGAAACAGGCCTTTGGGGACATTTAAAATGTAAGCTGTAAGACTGGACCTGGTGGTATATGCTGGACTTCCAGCTACTTGGGATGGGCATAGGGGAATCATGGTTTGAGACCAACACAGGCAAAAAGACCCTATCTCAACAAATAAGCCAAATGTCCTGGCACAACTTTGTTCTCAGCTTCTCAGGAAACCGTAAATAGAATTATCGTGGACTAAGTACAGCCCAAGGCAAAAATGTTTAAACCCTATGCAAAAAGTAACAAGCAAAAGGCTGAGGACATGGCCTGTCTAGCAAGTGAGATACTTAGTTCAAGGACCTAAACTGAGCTGGGTGCTGGTGGCTCATGCCTGTAATCCTAGCTACTCAGGAAGCTGAGAGCTGAGGATCGCGGTTCAAAGCCAGCCTGGGCAGGAAAGACCATGAGACTCCTATCTCCAATAAACCACTAGAAAACCAGAAGTGGCGCTGTGGCTCAAGTGGTAAAGCACTAAACTTGAGCACAAAGAGGCTCAGGGACAGCACCAGGGCACTGTGGCTCAAGAGGTAGCACGCTAGCCTTGAGCTGAAGAGCTGAGGGACAGCGCCCAGGCCCAGAGTTCAAGCCCCATGACCAACAACAACAACAAAAGACCTAAACTATAGTGTACATCTTATTTAGGACCTAGTTTTTAATGTCATCTAAGCTCTTATGTCACCAGCTCTGTTAATATTAGTGTTGCACTGACTGAACATTTGTGTAGAACACAAATGTTTTTATCTTTCAGGGCCTTCCATGAACCTTATCTTGACCGCTCACATCTCAAACTACAAGTGAGCTCCCAGTTTTTCTATGGCATTCACTAGTCTTACTGTTCATTATTTACTTGTTAATCCAAGTGCAAATAATAAGCCAAGTTTTAAAGCACCTTTACACCTAATAAAAACAAGACCTATCAGTAGCCATGTGTTCCATATTAATCAGCTCCCAAGAGGCTGACGGCCCATATGGCCTTGAGACAGGGTCTGCCCCCTCAACGCGCTCCCCTGTGAACTGGGATAACTGTCTCATAGGGTACTTATGATAGGTATCCACAGTATGCTGAGTGCTTCGAAGCACACGTTACCTGCTTACTGTTGCAGTTTGGGGATGTAGGAAATGGGTCTGTGTGACACCATCAGAACAATGGCGGGGGCTCCTTTGGGGGTTCGAAATCCTCACATGCATATGTTTCACAGGAGAATTTGGGCCAATTGGCACCGTACCAAAACAAAACAAAACAGTTCCGGGGCTGGGAAGGTGGCTCAGTGGTAGAGTGCCTGCCTAGCATGCATAAAGCCCGGGGTCCAATTCCTCAGTACCACAGAAACAGAAAAAAAAAAAAATGCCGGATGTGATGATGTGGCCCAAGTGGTAGAGTACTAGCCTTGAGCACAGAGAGGCTCAGGGACAGCCCAGGCCCCGAGTTCAAGCCCCAGGACTGGCAAAAAACAAACAAACAAAAACAGTTCTGCAAAATTAGACTGTTAACAGACTAAGTTCTACGGACTTTCTAACACTGTTTGAACACTTAGTATCCAGTAGATAGATAGGTCTTCTGCAGTTTGTGGCTTGGTATGTGTTTTGACAAACTTCAGCCTTTCCAGTAAAACCTGCAGGCTCTGACCTCAGGGGTGAAGACTAGAATCAGTCAGTCATGTTGTGATTTCATATTGTGATAGGTCGCCACAGTTCACCTTTCTTGAACACAAGATCTTTTGCTTATGTGACCATTTCTGTATAGATCATAGCTGTGTGGGTTATAGGCCTTTGGCTTGTCTTCGTTGTCCTAAGCCCCGTCTGGTAACTTGTTCTTGCAGGTCTGAAAGGGCTGCACAGTCCTGTCTGCCATGAACTTTGAGTTTCTGACTTGACTCATGGCTGGTTGGCTTTGCCCACTGGAGATGTTCACAGCTTCCAAACCCAGCTGTGGTTTGGGAAGTGACCTGTCAAGACCACACCCGTGGTAATCCTAGCACTTAAAGAACCAGCCCTCCCTGGCCGTGGGGATAGATGACCCAGAGCAAAAGCCTCATTTAATCCTCTCATCAGGCCTCAGCCTCTTAAATTGCTAGGATTATGGGTGTGAGCCACCAGCACCAGGCTTGTGGTGTCACGTGTTCTCTTCACAGCATCCTTTTAGGTTATTATGGGCACTTGTACAGGTGAGACTCAGGCTTGCAGCCAAGAAGCAGAGGAGCTGTACACAAGCCCAGGGCTGTCCAGCTCAGGGCAGACCAACCATGTCACTTCAAATCCATCCTCACCTCCTGACCTGCCCCATACACCTGTTCTACCCTATCATCTTCTGTATCTTCCTTACAGAAAATGAAGCACAGGAACATCAGAACATCACTGCACACACACACACATGAACATCACTGCACACACACACACACACACACAGGAACATCTACCCTATCATCTTCTGTATCTTCCTTACAGAAAATGAAGCACAGGAACATCAGAACATCACTGCACACACACACACACACACACACACACACACACACACACACAGGAACATCTACCCTATCATCTTCTGTATCTTCCTTACAGAAAATGAAGCACAGGAACATCAGAACATCACTGCACACACACACACACACACACACACACACGAACATCACTGCACACACACACACACACACACACATGAACGTCACTGCACATACACACACACACACACACACACACACACACACACACACAGGAACATCTACCCTATCATCTTCTGTATCTTCCTTACAGAAAATGAAGCACAGGAACATCAGAACATCACTGCACACACACACACACACACACACACACCCTCATCCAGTCAGCCCTTCTCTGGCCACCTCTGCCAGGGCTACTCTCTGTCCTGTGATGTCCTTTCTTTGCATTCCTAGCCACTCAGAAGTGACTGAGTCACCTAAATCAATTTACAGGGATGGGTAAAAAGCCCAGACAGAGTGGCTTTACTGAGAAATATCTTACACCTGCCATGGAATCTGGAGGTTAATCTCAGAGTAATGAATAGAGGCTGGAAGGACAGCAAGCGAGAAAGAAGAAGTAGGAGAGATGAGTACAAAGTTGCACTTGTTCCATTGCACAGATGACCACAGTGGATACTGTGTATTCTAAAATGTTAGAAAAGAGGGCTGGGGAGTGTTCTCGTCCCAAGGATACTATAAACAAATGAAATGATGGAAATGCAGAGTACCTGATTTGACTGTTATGCATTGGATGCATATATCAAAACCACATTGTGCCATAATTATGTGCACAATTATGTGTCAGAGACACATCTTTAAGAGGAAGTAAGAATTTGACATGAAAAGAGGAAGTAATGATATTTTATTTTTAAAAAGTAAACTATTTTACAACATATTAGACATTTAATGTTGCCAACTAATGCTCTACTTGAGATACTCTGCGCTCTCTCTCTCTCTCTCTCTCTCTCTCTCTCTCTCTCTATATATATATATATATATATATATATATATATATATTTGCTAGTACAAGTATCTCAGAGGTAAAGTAATTGGCCTTAAATTCGAAAACTTTTTTTTTTTTTTTGCCAGTTCTGGAGCTTCTCTGTGCTCAAGGCTAGTGCTCTACCACTTGAGCCACAGTGCCACTTCTGGCCTTTTCTGTCTGTGTGGTACTGAGGAATGGAACCCAGGGCTTCATGCAAGCACTCTACCACTAAGCCCCATTCCCAGCCCCTAAAACTGAATATTTTTAAATTTAAAAGGCAAATACAAGTATCCTGAAAATGAACTATACAACTTAGAGGTGAGGACAGGAGAAAAACTGGGAGAGAGCAAAGGAAGGGGTGACCTGCTCATTATCTGACTTATGTAACTGCAACCCCTGTACATTTTATGACAACAAAAAATTAAAAACAGCAAATACAGGCAGCAAAAGCAAAAATCTGAATAAATACCAGGCATGTGAAAATGTTGAAAAACTACCTAGTGAGATGCTAAAAAACAATCTCAAAAAACTAGAAATATTTATTTCTCAAGCCAAATAACTGTGTTAACTTGCTTGCGTTCTGCCAAAATGTAAGCTCTGCCTTGTGGAGCCCAGAAACCTAACAACACTTTCAGTTCAATAAAGTACTATGGGATTACAAGCAGGACACAAGAAACACTGGCATGTTTAGTGATTGTATTAGTCCAGACTCTTGGTTGAAAGTGATCAGAAATTCAGCTTTAGGCAGAAAAGGAGAGGTTTTAGGAAACGTCTGAGACAGCTCACAGAATTGAAGGAAAACTGCAGGGGGCTACATGCAGCTAACACTTAATATTCAAAGGGAGCTAGGAACTCAACTCAAAACACTATCTCTTTATAATGTGTCATCTTCCATTATAGACCACTTTACTCCTCGTGGCAGGAAACATCCACTAACAGCCAAGGCCTCTATCTTAGTGGTTCTTTCACCAGAAAGGAACAGATCTAGTTTCACATTCAGACCAGAAGCTCAGTGAAGGACCCTGGCATGCAGCGCCCCCGCCCCCCTTGGTTTAGGGGCCTTCACGTATGTTAATGAAGCAAGGCC